CCAGTTTTACTGAACCAAATTTCAAATTTCCTAATCTGTAATTCATCCAATAGGAGTGCGCAAATTTTTGTCAATAACCAATAAGAATGCACAAATTTGATCGACCCGGTAAAACAAATCCGACTCAAAGCGATGAATAAAGTGATATTACAAGAAAACTGATGCATAATCTGTCTTGGACTATTAATTAAAAATGTCGGGAAGGCAATTTCACATATAATATTATTTCATCACCCAATGCCTTACCCCTACCATGACTCTAATCGGATGTAATGAAAATTTTAAATTTTTGGTCGTGTAAATTTTGATTTACAAGTGTGCAAACCAATAAAAATGCGTAGATTTTTGATCAGCTCCGATGAAAAAAAACAAAAATGTGAAAAATACGGGAAATAGATGTCGAAATCAACCTTGATCTCAGCTCTAATCCTAATAACCCTAGCCTTTAAATTAACCTTTAACAATAATTCAAGATAGCGTAATACAAATATTGTAAAAATCACACGAAACTTCCCACAAAGATAACGATAACGATAATGTTTTCCAGGTCAGGATGCATACTTAACAAATAGTATCAAAACATCGAGTCTATGCAATCTTTACACAACTAAGATCGTTTTATATATAGTCGTTACTTCTTATAGTTATTATTTTATTAATATATTTTGATGCTGCGTATAGTTTGTTGCATTATTCTAATATCCAGTAGTATAGACATGCGTATGTTGTACGCATTGATTTCACCCATACATTACTTCTTTAAGAACTTGTACTGTACGTTTTACCATAACACTGATTCTAAAATGGGGGAGTTTATGTAAAAGGGATACATGTACTTCAAATAATGGGTATATTACACAGGTTATATATATTGTACTGTCTTGTTTGTTGTACTGTACTATGCTACATGTATTTAGATAGATTTTTTAAGATAACCTATATTCCCTGATCCTTTCCAATACAGTACAGTACAAGATAGTAGTTTCCTCGGTTGTACTCAGGTCTTTTACAATTTTGCTCGGAGATAACCTCGATTAATCCTAGGGTACAAATCACAGCGGGTATTTTATTAAGAGGATACTATTTGCGGAGAAATACGGTACTATCATTAATAAAATGTAAAGTATAGCTTCCATTTTATTGTAGTGTTTCATCATAAAGTTGTAATTGTTGGAAGAAACTTGAAATATCTTCATTCTCGTTAATTCATATAAATCTGTTTTGCAATCCAAAAGAAAAACTAATGAAGTCAATAAAAAAATAAAACAACCAATTTTATCTTCTTTTGGAACAAACAAATCGATATTTGTCAACCTAAATATGAATTCTGATTAATATGAAATGCTAATATGAATTACACATATATTTAGAAATCGAAAGTACCTGTGTCAGTTGGAATTAAAATTAATTTTATAGCAAAGATTCGATTGATTTGTTGTTTTTATTTGTATTCTTAGAAATGCTTTTTTGCAATTTCATCTCCTCATCAAGTTCTTCCCGTTTCTGCTTTAATAATTGCTTAGTTCTTAAACGAACTGTAATACTGAAAATGCAAAATATTCAGTTCACTATACTTTATGAAGCTGTCGATATCGTAAATTCCTTAGTGATAGATCTGTTTTCAGGAATAGAATCCCAACATTTTTCAATAATAACTTTGTATGATCTGGGAACATTATTTGGTATGGTAGGTCATACTTCATGATAGATGTCGTATACAAGATAATGATCATGACTTCGTTCACCTGTAGCAACCTCGTATGTAAACATTCCAAACCTATAAATATCTGCAGCTTTAATGTATGGCTTTTCATTTAGTACTACTGAACTAATATAATGAAATACTCTGCTGGTTTGCTAAGTCCAAATCAACAATTCATCACGCATTAATAAATTTTCGGATGAAAGTCACGATGCACAAATTTCTCATTGTGAATTCTATTCAACCCTGACATGTATTTGCATAGATTGTCATCTTTTGCATGATCCATCACTATCGAGTGTTCATTTTTTAGTTATTTTATGAGTGTATTTTAGAACAGTCTGAATTTAAATTTGAAGAAGTTAATTATATTGAAAAACAAAAAAGCAATGTTTACACTTAAAGGTGTTAATTTTACTTCGTTTATAAACTCGGATGTAATTTCAACACAACATTGCATTCTCCCTTTCATTTAAATCTATTCCCTATATGATCCTGCTGAATGTATTTATTGGACCGTCTAACCAGATTGCTTTATAAATTGATCCAAAATCTCCTTTGCAAGATATTCAACATTGGTAAAACTTTCAAAATGGATCCATTCAAAAAACTGCCTTCAGCAACAATTTTCACACATTCATTTATTAGGCTGTTGATACCTGTATTTCCACTAGACCATTCAAGATAAATTCGTTTGTGATATACATGTAGCAAAATATCCATGACAGTTCCCATTGTTTTGACAATAGAGACATTTACTACAATCATGAGTATTCAAAGTTTCAGATGCCATTTTTGAGTTTATTAGTAATTATAGCAACTTAAAATGATGATTTATTTATGTATTTAGATCACGGATGAAATCACAAATTCCGAAAATTAAATTACGTACACAGGTAGAAATGGGGATTCCGTTAGTGGTGGTTGATCCGAAAAACTATTAAGAGTTATATACTGTATCTAAGAAGTGTGCTAGAGTTAACACCCGTAGATTTTACGAATAGAAATTCGATATATGTAAAAAAAATGCGCGTTTAACACGTCTACTTTCTAGCACAATTAAATATTACGTAATTTAGAGAACGGCTAAAGCGTAGTCTATCATGTGATATATCTTAAAATATTAAAAGGTTATGGTTGGGAAGGAGATCAAGATTATATTTAAAATTGTCTTCCCGACATTTTTAATTAGTGCTCCAAGAAAGATCTAAGCACCTGTTTTCATTTTATTGATATATACACGACTTCATCGAGTTACTCGATTTTCTGTTTCTAAAGTCACTTTCATTAATTAGTCAGTATTCCCTCTTGAATAATATTTTAACACTCAAACTTTCGTTGGTCTAAATCCTCCGAACCTTTTTTTAAATAATAATTTAGCAACGCAATAACATACCCCCTTCACCCCCATTACCCTCAATGTCTGCAACTGCGTTTTTCTCTTTAGATTTTTTTGCCTTTTTTTTTTCGTTTCTGTTTCTCCTCTTCTTCTTGCTGACGCATTTGTTCGCCTCGAAATCATATTCTTGTGGTTACTTACCTTTTTGTTTTTTTAGACGAACCAGTCGTTTTGTACTTGATCCAATGTACTACGCTCTACTTTCATAGTTAGGCCTAGTGCTCTTTGATCTTTATGAAAAGGGAATAAAAAATCAAGTATTGTCATCAACCAATCTTTTATGTCCCTATTCTCCCTACCAATTGCAAGAACATAATAAAACGCCAAATCCACATCAAATAAGCTCTCACGTATACTCACGTTTTTTTCCATTAACGTGATCCAAATGATTGACACTATCCTTCACCACACAATCGCACACTTACAATAATATCCTGGTTTTAGACCTTTACATCTTTGCTCTTCCTCCTCTTCTAGCTGTTGTTCACGACGAGCACGAGCTCGTGCACGCTGTTCGTATTCATGTTTGTCCCAGGTAAGGCGAAAAGCTTGTGTCGTGCTGTTGTTGAAAGTGATAAAGGTTAGAAGAATGGAAAAGAGTTGAAAAAGAAGAAAGGTAAT